CTCAGAACGCCACAGTGAGGCGGTGTGCAGATGGACATTAACTAGCAGTTAGTCCTGGTCGGAAGTTATCTGGGAAACTTTTATCCATTTCTTATTTCTACTGCATTGGTGAAATATGAAATAAACGTATGAAACTCACATTTGTTTCTTGTATTTCACACTTTCCACAGTTTGAATCAGCTTCCTTTATTTTCAGGCTGTTCTTTATTTGTTAGCTCATGACTCCATAAAGAGATTAAAGATTGTTTCTGGCCCAACAACATAAAACTTCAAACAAACATTTCACCTCAGTCATTTTCTTAGTGAAAAGCCAAATCAAATGTAACTAAGTTGTTTTTAAGCTTGGTCTATTTACCACAATATAACTGAGCTTTTGTCAGTTATTAGTACCACACCATGATCATTATGATCATTAAAGGCCTCGAAGAATTTCTCAAAGAATCTCTTTAAACTCAATATCAGACACTTACAGGATCAAAAAAAGTATTAAAATATGATTATTTCAAACTTCAAACGTGAAACATTGAAGATTTGAACTTGCATTAAATCTACTGAAACCCTGTTGTGGAAGTTTTCCCTTAAATAAAACCTGCAGACGAGCGGTGAGCGGTAGCTAACATTCTTTCATCCAAACACACAAAGAACAGAAAACCAAGCTTGTGGAGAGCCTACATGACCGCGGGGCAGACGGTCAGCAGAGTCTCTCTGAGCCTAGCATGGCTCTCAGTTAAACCTTCTTCAGGAACAAAAGGCAGCACACAGCTGTTTCACACCTTAAGGTTCACACTCCCTTGCTACCTCCCAGAGTCCTCGAAGAGACAAAAGACTCTTCCTGTGGAGTCGTCTGCTTCCCCCAACTTCCTTACTACACCCCCACCATTTGTCTTAATGTATGGGTGTGAGACTTGTTAAAATCCAGTGGCACCAAGGCATCATACAATAAAATAATGTGATTAATACATAAGTAAAAGAAACTCCTATACAACCCTTATTTAAGAAATGCACATCCTCAACTTGATCCAACTGCATCTCTTGGATTCTTAGACTTGCAACCTTTTATAGCCACGCTTTCACGATAAAGTCCTCCCTGCAGTGCAGCACTTGCAAACATTAACAAGATTCTTTTAGTCTTGATGTAATGGACTTCAGTAATTCTGCTAGCCTTAATGTTTCCATAATGCTAGCAGCATTAGCAAGAGCAGCTAGGTGAAGATTTTGTTGCAAAGTAACGATGACTCATCTACTTTACAAAATCCTTGCAATAAAACGAGGTTGGTTGCTCAGCAGCAGCTGGCCCTTTGCTACTTAGCTGGTTACGTAATGTGCTGTCTGTATAGAGTTCAGCACCTGTACAGTTCAATGATCCAACAGGCCTTTCAACTCACACAAATGGAGTGTTTTCTTTTGTTCATTCTTTTT